AAATCTGGCCCCTGGGCCGTATTTTGCCCACTCCTGTTCCAAGGGCTGGGTCTATGGGGTGGGATTGCTTCTGATTTTCCCCTAGGGGCCATGTTTTTTATCATTGCGTATCATTAGGAAGGATTTGACTATATGATGACACAATTATTTTGAGGTGAGCAAAAAGAAAGCTAACAGCTCTAGCTCTCATCTCTTAAACCTGTAGAGTTTCTGTATGTCTGCCTGGTGGCTTAATTCTTCCTCCTTCCCCACCCTGCCACCACCATTTTAGCATTCAGGATCTGGCAATTTGGCTTTGTCCTCCTGTGTTCGTTCTGAAAAGACATGGACCAATCTGGATTATTACTGCCCATTACCTCTCTTTGTCCCCTTCACCTCCTTTTGTATTTAGAGTGTTTCTTAAGTCACTGATTGTTTCTCCCCTTCTCCCTCCTCTTTCTGTCTCACAGACTTTGAAGCGACTCATGGCAGATGAGGTAAGGATGGTTGCTTTCTTTTGCGTATACCTTTTTCCGCCTGCTGTAACTTTCTTGCACCTGGCTGTTTCCCAATAGCTTATCCAGTGTCCCGTGCATGCTGTGCCCCTAGACTCTGTTCTGTTCCTTACTAAGCAGCCCTAATTCTTGCTGGTGCAAGCCTGCTGCATGCATGTTGTTTCTTATGGGAGGCACCTGTAAGATTCTCTACCTTTGCTTTCCAAATATAGAATGTCATAGTCCCAGCTCTGTCCTCCCAAGCATTGGTATAGTTAATAGTAAAAGCATAACTAGCAAGTCTTGCACCCTGGGCAAAACCGTTTGGAGAGCAGGGGGCAGGAAGGGGTATCAATCTTACTTGCTGGGGGTGTGGTCTACCCACCTTTGATTGTTGCTGGTATTACAGAAGCGGTGCTGGACTGCTGTTGCCCAGCACAGATTCCCCAGGGGGCTGCCATTCTGGTGTGGTGCCCTCCCTAAGTCAGTGCCTGGGGCCGATGCTCCACTTGCATACCCCTTGTTGATTAATGGTCTTAGTGCTGTCATGTTTCTGGTGGATGGTGCTGCAAAACTGCTTCTGGGTTTCAGGATTTTGCTGATTCAGACTTCCCTGGGATGATGTTGAATTCGGGTGGCATCAGTAGTTGTGCCAGAAGATGTCAGTTTTTCCTCTGTTAGTGACAGTGCATGAATATCTAGAAAAGAGAGTAACCACTAACCTGGGCTGCAGGTTGTCAGTTACATGTGGTATTGGCAGATTTTGTCTGTATTTTAATCTTCACTCTTCAGTGTCCCTATTAATTGGCACTTGGTATGTTCCTGAAGCATGGGTTCAGGCCCCTTGGTATAAAGACTACCTCCTAAACAAGCTCTGTTTTCTCTCTGTTGCCAACAGTGCAAGTCTGAGAGTCTAGCTGGATTTTGAGATGGTATGCAGAGTTGCAGATGATCCATACATCTGGGTGGTGGGCAATGTATCCTGTTGAATTTGTTTTTTGTTTAATTTCACTCAGCTGGAACGATTGACCAGTATGAGGATAAAGAAGGAGAAGGAAAGGCCCAATGCATCTCATAGGAATTCGTCTGCCTCCTATATGGATGTTCAAAGCACAGGCCAGACGCTGCAGGAAATCCCTGATGAGGACGTGCTGGTACTCTTTGAGCAGATGCTGGTAAGTCAGTCAGCCATACATCCACCTTCTGTTCCTGCATGCCTTGCTCTCTAGACCAGGGGTTGGCACATTTTTTGGTAGTGGGAGTGAAGGGGGCAAAATGACCCAGCTCAGGTTGGAGATGGGTGGCTATTAGGACCCAGCTGCTGCTCCCCTTTCTCCCTACTGCCCAGCTACACTGTTTCACAGCAGCCCCCTCCCCATTCCCTGCTCTGCTAGAGTCCCAAGCAACAGACAAGCGGCTTAGGGGGAGCCTCCCAACTATGAATGCCACTGAAGCCATAGCTCTGCAGGCTAAATCTGGCCCTGACCCCTGCACTAAATGATATCTTCCCTTTTTTCTCAGGTCAGGAATTGGAGACAGTGGTGCCTTCCACTTTTCTAAAATGCCTAATTATGTGAGGCCTTCGTTACAAAACAACATCCTACAACTTCTGTTTTGCTTTCATATACCTCCATGCAGAAGGGAGTCTGTTTGATCCCTTGGACTGTAGTTTCTCATAGATCCAAAAGACTGAATTATAATATTCCTCTTGTGGACATCCCTCCATCCAGCTTCTAAGTCCCAGCCCTTTTTCTCCAGTGGCTCTAATTCTGGGGTTTGTGAGTGATGTTAGGATGGGATTAAGAAGCAAAGAGGAAAATAAGCTCTCTTTAATATGTTGTAGCCAATTGCTCGATTGCATCCCCATCTCTGGTTCCTTTGCTGTTGGGTTTTAGACTCCTCAGCTGTTTAATAGCCCTCTGATTTTGGTGTTATTGGCAAACATTAAATCAAGAACATTTTCCACAAAAGAAACCTAGCAGATGTGAAACAGAGGCAGGGACTTAAGAGGGACTGACTTCTTTTTAGTAGGATAGAACCCTCGTGGGAACCATAAGAGTCTTGGACTGAGTAAGAACTAGCAAGTGGTTTAACTGCTTGACAGTTGCATCATTATTGGGACAGAAGACCACAGTCTGAGAATTCTTGAGGTTGGTCAGTTAGCTCTTGATTAAGGAGACTAAGAGGTAACTTTCTCTGGCTTTCCTCAGGGCATTTTCTATTTCCTTTAAGGAAGTGTGTAGTGGGGATTGCTTTTGTCCTTTTCTTAGCTCAGGTGTTTCCCTCTGATGAAGATTATGTATGATGATTATATAAAGAGTAAGTACTCTTCTCTCCCTCCTGAGATTCTGCCATGCTCACTAAAACAGGTTTCAGGTCTTGCTGTGACAGGGTTGGAAGCTTGCCACAGACTGAGCAGATTGTATGCCATGTAGCAAATGATGTTTCTACTTGAGGGATTTTGTTTCAAGGATTAGGGCATCTGAATAAATATTTTTTTTTACTTGGCTTTTTTTGTTCAATAGGTGGATATGAATTTGAATGAAGAAAAACAGCAACCTCTGAGGGAAAAGGACATAATAATCAAGAGGGAGATGGTGTCCCAGTATCTGCACACGTCCAAAGCTGTGAGTATTCTTGCTCTGAGTACAGAAAACAGTAAAGGAAGGGCACAGTGAAGTACAGGAAGAAGTACAAAAACATCCCTTGTAGGAGAAGTTTTTAAGTGGAATCTGGTATAACCCCCACAAGCATCTTGAACAAATGTGAAGGAGATGTACAGGAAAGGAAATGGCTCAGACCCTAACTGTTGTTAGATAGTGATATACAGCCTCTATGGCACTTAACTTGGAAAGTAAAATTGAACAAAAGTAAGTTTTCCAGTAAATTATCAGTGAAGTATGTACACCAGGAAGAAAGTAGCTCAAAATTGTTATTAATTTATATCTGTTGTTAGTTTGTCGCATCATTTTGGTTAATTTTCATAGTTTCTAAAGATAGTAGAGTGAACCAAGATATGGTAGGACCCAGATCATTCATATCCAGGTGGTTTGCAACCCAGTTGATACAGCAACCTGTTGCAAATTAAGGACAAACCTTTCAGCTATTTTCCTGTGGCAGTTACTTCAGAGTGCCCTTTCTTCACTCAGAGCACTACAATAGTATCATGCAGCTGGTCAGAGAAGCACCACCCTTTTAGAAGCAGCTGAAGTGAACAGCTGAGTACTTCCGTGATTTGCTGTGGCTCTGAGTACCCACAGCAGTTTTCAAATCCTCATCTTTACAAGAGAATTAGGAACCCTATGAATTATCCAGGTTCTACTGTATTCTGTGACTAAGTGTTAACAACCTGTTCTAACCATTTTTGTGAAATAATTATTTTTAAAAAATTCTGAAAACTTCTCTCATTTTTTAAAGTTATTTACTTTTTAAAAACACTCTGAAGAGCATCATGGTTGGTTTTTTGTGTGTCTTATTGATTCATGTTTATAAAGCTTTTGCCAAGAAAAAACTATGAGAATAGACAGAGGAATCATTGAAACAGACTATATGCAAAGTGGTGTCAAATTCTCCAAAAAAGGGGGAAAATATCAGTAGCCTTCTGTTATTGTACGTATTGGGTTTGGTTAAATATCTAGGCTGTTTTGTTCAACAGGTGGAGATAAATTAAGGTTTCTTGTTTTAAAGGAAAATAATCAGTTACTTTATTTTTATTTATTTTTGTTTCAATCAACTTTATAAAAAAAAAAATCCTCTTTTTTTTCCTGCAAAAAGCACTTTGTTTATGGAAAAAAGAACATTTTTACTAAAAAATTTCAAACAAAATTTTGATTGTCTCTCCTACAT